GTCCCTAAGGGCCCTAACCACCCCTAACTGTCCCCGACCGCCCCTAACCGCCCCTAACTGTCCCCAACTGCCCTTAACTGTCCCAACCGCCCCTTATCGTCCCCGTCAACCTGGCTGGAATGCCAAGACAGCCCAGAGACGAACTACTTATACTAACCGACCAAACTCAATCGGAAAAAACATCCGCGTCCAAAAATCCTTCGTACTAGTAACCCCGTTTTTTCGGTCCCAAAGTACCATGGTATCAGTAACTGGTTCCACTTGTTTATCTGAAAAGACCCACCCAGGGCCTTACTATCGGTTGGCCCAACCTTCGAAGAAAGTGTCCGCAGTATTCTCATTCTCGCAGCTGTCTCACACCATATTTACCGGACCATCCAGTTAGGCATAAAACCCATCGCTCCCACTTATTGTTGAATCTTTTTGAAAAAATCCTCAGAACCGTATCAAAAAATTCATCAGGAAATCCCCTCAACCCAAGTTCGATCTTCAGAGTAAACAAAAAACACAGATCCGCCCCAGGCATCATATTCAAATCTTTCAACCTATGTAAGAAAAAACCTAACACAACCATTTTTTGCTGTTTAGGTGAATAGGACCTATAATCTTGCAGATTTTGAAAAACAATCCCTTGTTTCAACAAAGTCCTCTTGTTCTTATAAGTCGCCGCACACAGAATTCTTGCCGGATGCTCGAAAACCTTGATGACGCACCCAAGATAATCCCATTCCATACCTTCATTGGTCTTTTCTAACACCAAATTCTTATCATAGGACAGACTGAACTGTCTGATCCTTTCTTCAGCACACCTTCGTGACGCCTCACTGCCTGACTCAAAACTTGTAAATACTGAAACGTCATCGACCAACCTGATACCATGAAACAAACTCCTCGATGAACCTAAACTGCCAAGAAATTCAGATTCGCTAAAAGCACACAATAAACAAGCAAGTGCGGGACTAGATGACTTCCCCATCGGTATACCAACTTTTTGCCTCAGTTTGAGACCCATCGCAGATACGTAGGTATTAGCTAGATCGAAGCCCACAAAACACAGCAACTTACTAAACTTCAATCGTCCCCATCCTTCTGGCAGCTCTTTCCTATTTGATAAAACAGCCCCTTTTCCTCTTTTTTTGTACAAGACATCCGAGAAACCTTTCTCCTCATGTATCGCTACTACCCATTCCACGACTCTCAGTATAGATGAATGAGGTAGTGCACTGAACATCTCTTTGACATTGAAACTTGCTGCCGCAATTCCTCCTTTACTAATCATCGTATTAATCCTTACTATCCTATCCTTCAAATCACTTGTAGCACGTAAGTTAAAATGCAGAGAAGTGGGAAGAGACCATAGAAGACAGTTGACACACTTGGAAACAATACGACATGCATTAGTGGTAGGATCAGAATGAGAGGGACATATAGGGCGCCAACGTCGAATATCCTTATGTTTCGGAATGCAGTACACATTACCCAAACTACCTTTCTTAGCAATCAGCCATATTGCACAAAATCTCATCCTCCGATCTCGCCTGTAAATCGAACCCATCACTATCCACAAAAAGCTTCCTCATGCCTGCTTCGTAAAAAGCAGGACAACATACCAGCGTATCACCAATGTTATGATCAATCGGACAAACAACGAATGAATCAAATTTCTTTTTCCATACACCCATCTGATTCTGTGAAAACGCTGGCCTCTCTTCCTACGGTCTCAACTTGACACACTGTTGTAGATCAGATTCAGAAATAGCTTAAAGCTTAGTATCAGACAGTACCCCTTCAAGGCATCTACGAATAGCAGTTCTTACTTTAGGAAGATTGAATTTGAGGTCAGGAGATGGGATATTCTTAGAATTGCGTAAGAAGGAGGGAAGCTCATCATATTCACTCAACTTAAAAGCAACGTGATCACCAACCCTAGGGAATTCGGAGTTAACACAAACACATGGTAATTCAGAACATCGAGAAAACGATCTAAAATTAAACAGAAAATCACCCACCGACTTATTTTTTGTCCAAACAACCCTGACTTTTCTGCAAATAATGTCCTGAATTGACCTCCGTATTGATGACCTTCTCACAGTCTGCACACACAAATCCCGTACCTTGCTCTTTGAAATCTGCGAGTCATATGTAAGCCTAATAGACGGCTTGATACGGATTCTAACATGAAACTTATTTTTAATTACCCTACCAACTATACCTCTAAGAGTGGACCTAGTAGTTTTCTTCGAAAAAATCCTAATGGACGAATACAGCCTTACCAGTCGATCAAATGATAGCTTATACAGATCTTTCCTCATGACAGGTTTGGACAGTAGCTCAGTAAGCCTAGCCTTAGCTTCCTCAAATCTCGAACAGAACCTAGACAACCTTTCAATTCTGATATCATTAGCAACGCAGAACCAATCTTTACATTTCTTTAATAAGTCAAGGCCTATAGACGACCTGACTACAAATGACCCGTACAACCTTTTAACAATCTTCCATTTGTCACAGAAATTCGGACCCCCTAGACGTGAAATGGCAAAGCTCGATACCTTTAAGTGGAAGGCATGATCAATAACAGACACAAGACTAACAGAAGTATAATCCAGGGAGGAGGTAAAAGAGACTACAGATCTTGAGCGAGCAGGTATAGAAGGAGAAACAAAAAGAATGGGACAGAAGAGGAGTTGGAGGTGCATTCTTCACGTCGTCTCTTTTTTCGTCGTTCTCTTCTACCGGGTCTACATGCTCTATGCTTCTTGCGACAAGACGATCTCGAATTCAGAAAAGGAGAAAAAGATCGGAGAAAGAAAGACTCTAGAGCAAGAAGATCGAAAGCAGTGGTTACAGCCAACGGAATAGCGACATATCCACAGGTTCCAAAGGTCCTAAGCCAATGATACAATCTATGGTTTCTAACATCCCCTGGAACTTCCTCCCTAGTTCTATACAGATGCTCCTTCCATCTGACATCCAATCCTCTTGACGCACATCCTATATAAACATGCTTGTACCACGGAGAAACAAGTGCATAAATTACAGTACCAGGACAATGAATCAGATCGTAACCAGAGAGTAGCAAAGTAGAGATAAATGGAATAAACTTACTAAGCTAAGGAATTAGATTACCAATGATCAAGAGAATAACTACAAGGCTGAAAATAATCCCGTACTTACCTTCCTTCTGAAAACAACCTTCGCTTCTCAAATCTCTGCATGTCAGAGCCAAATCCTGACAATCACGAAAAACACCAACGCTCGGAGAAGGACCCTAGCAGCCGGTATTAACCTCTTCCTCATCACCAAATTTTTGACCAACAACATCAACTGACTGCTGATCGTCTTCTTCGTGTTCCTCCTCATCGTCAGCTCTGAATCTCCTTCTCGGTTTCGGGAAAGCAAACCCGGCATACCTTTCGGTCAAATCAGCCGACGCGCCCCGAATCGTGGTGTAAGCAAGGCCTTCTTCCAGGCACAACTTCTCGAGATCATTCTTGCGCAGTTTACTTAATTCGGTGAACACTCTCTTCGTGAACATCGGTCTCGTCTCGTCAGCCCGTTTCTCGAATCTCACCTTTGCTTGGCTACACTCCCCGTCTCTTCTTCATGCTCAACCACAAGACCTGCCATCTTCTTCCGAAGGTTCGTAGATTGCACACGACGTACGTATCTTCAATCGATTGATCCGTTCCTTCAAAGCGGCGACCTCTCTCTCACCATAATCCTTCTCATCTCGTAAGCGTTTACAAGCATCGGCCATCTTGGCCACGTCACCTGGAGTGAGCTCCCTATCGTTCATCCTCAATCTTACCCGAGTCGGCTCAGTAGGCGGACTCTTCTTAGTAATGACCACCGAACTCCTCTTACCACACCCTTTCCTCAGATTACTGACTTCTTCCTTCAGAGCAAGCAAATCCCTCGAAAGTGTCGAGTTCTCCAATTTCAATGACTCGATCTCTTTATCAGCCAAGCTCATGCGCATGGCAATCTTCATCTCTTCATTCTCCCTTCTCAACCTTTCATTTTCCGTCTCTGTGACTTTCTCTCCTACAGGCCTTATTCCTGCAGCAATTGCCTCTCGTCGCAACTCTGCATTCGCTTCTGCACAAACATTGTCCGTGGATGTAATTTTCTTTCCCAAAATGGACTCGCAAACTTCAGTCATAGAACCTTTAATCAGCTTCCCCAAATTTGTCTGAACTTCGATCTTCTCCTCCTGCTCCTTCAGCTTCTTCGCTTCTTGCTCCTGCAACCTCTTCTTTTCTTCATCCTCCTTTAACTTCCTCTCCTTCTCTTTAGCTGTACGTTTTTTCTCCTCCATCTCTTTACTGATAAAACCCCACATCTTCTCGAAACGATCGTCTCTCCCCCGATAGTTTCCTTGCTCGCGATAACCTCCCTGCCACGATCTCCTGTACGGTTGCTGGAAATTTTGTTGAACTCCTTGTTGCCCGTTGCTCGGGCGTTCGGTGTCGACAAGATCGGAGCAGCACCCAAGGAAGAAGCACCGTAGTTACCGAGATTACTATTGCTGTTATTTCCTCCCTGCCTGTTAGCTTCATTGTTGATACGCAACTGGCAGTCGCGAATCCAGTGTCCGTGTTGATGACAGTAATGACAAGCACCACTTGGAGGATACGAATACATCTTAACCCCAAAGACAAGAAAGACAGGTAAAATAGATGTAGAAGTAGAAGTAGAATAATGTGAACGTGAAGAAGGACACACACAGATGTCGACACAGAGGGAAGGATAGGAAATAGTGATAGAACTCATAGAACCCATGTGCAGTGTTGTCACGTGGGGATCCCCAGGGGCAACACCGGGGTTGTGGCAGAGGTGGCAATTGGAATTTTTTGGAATAACTGTACCTTACCTACCCACACCCTCTTTGAAAACTAAGCACCCATGCCCACTGCATAGATGACCTACCGGACCTTTACCCATCCTTACCTGCTTAAAAAAAAAAGAAGTGTACCCATACCTGCCCTACTTGAACCCCTTCAGACAGTAGCTGGCCATAACTGCCCATGGACTTTCTGTTTCAAAACTACCCATGGCCACCTGCACCCAAAACTTTTGTTAACCACCTGTAGCGTACCCAACCAA